CACACACACACACACACACACACACACACACACACACACACACATAAATTATCACCTCAGTCTCTCTGCATAATTTTCCTGGTGGTGCACAAAGATCCCTGCAGTGTCTCTGTGCCCCACCAGGGGGACCCGCCCCAGAGTTTGAGCACCGCTGTGTCGACATAAACATGTGAACACCGGGACTGCAAAGTTTATTCCTCTGCTTATTTATGAGAGATGAAGGTTAGAGAGAGAAGAGTAAACGCTGCAAAAATCTGTGTGACAGATTTTTTATATTTATTTATATTTCATCATGTGTTTGTCTTCATTTCTTATCTCTAACCCATCATCCACTCACTCCTCTGCAGATCATCCCACTTAGTGTAGAATATTAATAACACTGCATGCTTGGATAAAATATAGTAGATTTTATTAGACTAAACTGCCCAATTTTATATTAACATATAATAAACGAGCACCGCATCTACTTCTTACAGAAGACATTTACTAGAGTGTAAGTCTGACGTATTTAACTTCACTGTTTCCATTTCATGCTTTGTTCGTTTCACCACCTTTAAGATATTAATACTGCGACAATTAAATTTAAATAACGACAAAGATTGTTCAGTTTTACAGAAATAGTCTTGTAACAATTTTGTAACACATTTAATAAAATGTATGCCGTGATTTCTTTATACAGTGGTCTTTGAACTGTTCCGGTGAAAAAGCAGCTCCTTTAAACTCTGCAAATTACTACACAAGATTTCGGAGAGACGAAGCTGGTTTTGATTTCCTTTCCTCTCATCTTCTTCTGACACCGAGGGTTTATCAGGCGATCCTTCGAATGGGGAGTAACCCTTAACTTGGGAACTGCTCAACTAAACTGATCGTATTAAAAGCAGATAAAAGCAGCTGATTACACGCTGATGGATTTCTATTAAATGCATGCATTTGACTGCACCAGTTCACTTTAAAGGTATTTATAAGGGTGTATTTAGAATCTGCAGTACCTTTATTTTACTGAAGTATTTGAGCATTTCACCAACAGTGAACATAGAATAGAATAGAATAGAATAGAATAGCCCGTTATTTCAATTACACATGTACAACGAAGTTGTGGGTGCTCCACTCCAGCTGTGCAGGAATAAAGTAAAATATAAATAGTAGAACATGTGGAATAAACCGAGCCCTTTAAATTCACTTTTAAATTCAGAAATACAAAACTGAACAAAACCAAAACAAACAAACCATGAAAAGTAATTTGGAGGGAAAATTAGCTGAAAGTAAAAATTTTTTGTTTTGAACTTTTTCCAGCTTTGAGCGGATTTTAAGGTTCAGTGACATCACTCGGTAAAAACGAGCGCAGTTTTCATCATGTTTATTCTCCTTTGCCTTTTCTTTCAGGGATAATTAAAAGCTTGTGCTCATCTCGGTTTTTAGGAGATCTGCTGAATTAGCAAACGTTTTTGTTTGACTCATTTTTGAAGCACAAAGTCCCTAAAACTGTATTTACATGTCTTATTTATGTTCCTTTTTTGTCTCATTCACTGGAAAATCTGATTAAAAATGAAAGGTTTGCCAATAATCTTTTGTGACATTTTATGAACCGCTAAAATTCCTTACATTTATTTTTAGGGCGATTAATGTTTGTTTAGACACATCAGTAATAAAGAGCGTCAACATTTAGGTTGAAACGATGTGAAATAAGCTAAACGAACTGCGATGTTTTCATTTCTGTCATAAGAAAAAGAGAAACGTGTGTGAAATCTCACCCCGGATAAATGTTCTCGCTGCCCACGTCGATGGTCTCCTCTACCTCGCTCTCCGCGGAGCTGCTGTCCTCGCACGGCCGCTTCATAGCGCGTTGTTGGCGCGAAAATGTGGCCGTCTGTCCCGGGAGGAGACGCGAAGGTTTCAAAGACTTCTTTTATTCCTGCGAATTTGCTGACCGGAGATCAGACCGGAGTGAATGAATGATCGAAACCCGGTGGGTCCTGATGATCTGGTGTTAATGTGCCCTAAGAGCGTGTGCGGTTAATCCACGGGGTCAGGTTCCTGAGACAAAAAACGTTTTCTCCAAATAAAAGTCACGTTAGTTTCACAGGGTTCCGGTTTCTCTCAGCGGTGCGTGTCCGGCCAGAAGTCCGGGACAGGTGGCCTGGGTGTCGGCTGCAGACTGGACTGTTGACCGGTGAGTCCTTCTCCTCCTTCTCCTCCTTCTCCTGCTTCTCCTCCTCCTCCTCTGCCGCTGGAGCTTTCCCACGAAGCCTGGGAATCACACACACACACACACACACACACACACACACACACACACACACACACACACACACACACACACACACACACACACACACACACTGTGAGGTGCGTCTGGTTCGGAGGCAGTACGCACGTACACAAGCGTGCGCATGCGTGCGTGTATGGGAACGAGGCCATCAGAAAACAACGATTATATCAGGCAGCAGGTCTGAGAGTGACTGCTGCACCGCAAACCTGAGGTCCTCTGAAGCTCTGAGGTCCTTTTATTTCCAGCAGCTCACCCCACTGATGCTTTATTCCATAGTATAAAATACTTAAAAAAAAAGTTTATAAAGTACTTTTCTCGTCTTACTGACTGCTCAGAGCACTTTAGCAAGAGGCTGATAGAGCAGAAGGCTGAAATGGCATCATGAAGGTTTTGGGTACATTCAGCTTCAGCCCACTGGAGGCAGGAGGTCAGTGAAGGTGGTGACCAAGCGTCCTCAGGCACGTCTTAACAGTGAAAACCTGCAGCTTGAGCTTTGGTCTCTGTGGTGTGATGGAATTAGAGATACATCAAATATTTTGGTCCAAATATCGTTTTTTTCCCCCTCAAAACAATAATAATATTTTCTTTAACACTCCATTTAACTCTAACACTCCATCCTAGAAGGACGTTGGAGAGATGGTCAGGAAGCTGGATGTGGTCAGTAGGAAAAACGACACGAACTTGGAAGCGTTGGCCGGATTTGTGCAGGATGAAAGAGACTGATGCACAGACATCAGCGGTTACCATCGTGCAGTAAAGAGGGGTGAGTTGTATCTCAAGACACAGTAAGATGTTGGACCTCAGCTTGACATAAATGCTAGGAGAGCTGAGCACGAAACACCCACAGTCAGCTGACGGACATGAAGCAGAGAGGGCCAAACGTCCTGACCGAGAGAAGTCACTCACCAAATCATTACTTCAAGTTCTTGTCTGTGAGTCTGAACTGTGTTTTGTGTATGTGATGTTACTTTGCTTTTGTTTTATTGATTTTTACACCAGATTCAATCTTCACTTTAAAATGAGGCTCTGACCCACTGGACCTGCATCCACCAATCCCTTGCTGCCATGCCGGGAAGATGCTTTAGCCAGAAACATTACGTATGACATGTCAGAAAAAGGCTAGTGTGTGTGTGTGTGTGTGTGTGTGCGTCTGGTCTCTCTCACACGATGATTGGGTTTCAGTGAACACAGCCAGGAGCTGTGGGAATATCACACACACACACACACACACACACACACACACACACACACACACACACACACACACACACACACACACACAGAAGCATCTGTCTTTTCACACCTGCTAATCTGTTAGCGGTGCAACAAGGATTTAATGCAGGAATTATACTGTACCAACACACACACTGATACACAGACTGGTCTCACTGCGAGGACTAACTAAAACCAAACTGGTCCTCACATTGACGCAGATACGAGCACACAGACTCACACAGGACCCCCCCCCCCTTCACCGTTTCTCCGTTCGTTCTGATAACTTCAAGTGGGCTTGTCAGCACCCTCTCATTGGCTGAGCTCCTCCTCTTTCTGTCCGGGTAATTACTGTAACAGTGAGTCTGTCTACACATCTACACAGCAAGGCCTTCATTAAAGCTCAAACCTGAAATGCACTGAAATCTCAGATTTTTCCTGCGGGATGGAAACCTCTGCGGGTCAGTTAATGAAGACAGCAAGAACTCCAGGTGTTATCCAAGACATGAGTGATGAATCCTGACTCAGTTTAAAAATCAGTAATTACATTTTTGAATCTTAAAAGGTCTGCTTACTTTATGCGTGCCTGCACGAAGTCATGAAATGACAGTACTGCACTTCTAACAAATTACCAGTCGAGTAACAACTTTAATTTAGCTGGAGTCAAATAGTCCGTACACATTCTGAGAACATCAGAATTTTTATTTCATCACTTCAAAAATGAAGCAGTCAGCTGTCCTCAGGTTTCACTCTCCTGGAAGGTCAAGTCTAAGGGACAAAAGACTTACAGGAGAGGAGGTGAACTAAACCCATCAACTTTCAAAATAAAATACTTTAGGATTGTGATGGTCCTTCATATATCCATCCTGCAGGTCTCTCTCATTGCACCGCTGATGAGGCCGCCCGGTGAAACCGTAGTTATGATTTTTGCTGTTGTTGTGCTTCATTTCTGTTGTTTTAAATTTGGTAAAGCTAAAGTTTGGAACAACTCTGATTCATTTTATGAGGCTCATATTCGCCCTCTAACTTGGGAGTTGTGTCTTAAAGTAATACGCATTACTCTGTACTTTTAAGAAAGAAAAAGAAAAAGTAATGCATTATTTCACTTGTTGCTGCATGTTTTCAAGAATGAGGCTGATGTGCAGAGCTGCAGTAAGCACAGAGGGATGATGAACCTCTCCAAGAAGACCTCTGTGAAGCTCTAAGAAGAGCTACACTCATTACATCACTTAAGCATTATTCATATGAAGTCCACAGTGTATCTACACAAACCCGTACCATAATAGGAAAATCTTTCTTTATTACCACAAAGCTGAGAGCCAAGCTCACAGAGGAGCTCAGATAAAGTGCCAGCTTTGGGGTTGTGCTGAGTTTGCGCTTCATCGTCACATTCTTGTCACTTTGTAGCACTGAGCATGGTCCAGAAGTTTTAGCTCAAGCTTCTGTTTTAGTTCCATCTCCCACATGAATGACGTGTGAGACAGCACACAGGAAATGGAATATTTGACTGTCCATCCACCCATCATGGAGATAAACAAAGTACAATAACTGTTATATTAGTTAGAGTGGCACCAAACACTGACAGAAACAGAAGCTTGGGTTTCTGCTGGACTGAAAAGTCTCACTCCAAGGTGTTGCCTTGCAGCTGTGGAGCTCAGGTGAAACTATCCCAGAGTTCAGCTGTGGACTGCATCTGGGACAAACTAACACAGCTCAGTTCATGCAGCCTCACACGGCGTCAGTCAGAAAACCTCTGCTTCTGAGCTGAGACGGAAAACAAAGGAACAAACGAACAAACGAAAATAAATGAGCAGAAACTCAGATGTCAATTAAACACAGTTAGTTTCAGTTAAAGTTGTTTTACAAGAGAAGCTGCTGCCAACGCACTCCCGGTTCTGTGTGTGTTGATGATATCAGAGGTTTATTGGTGTCGGGGGTCACAGAGGACAAGCAGGGCCATCCTATAGCAGGAAACGCAGCGTGTCGAGGGAGGAATATCTCTGTGTGTAGAGGGTAATATCTCAGGGAGCGCTGAGCCAGAGTGCTGGGCCGTGAGTCGGAAATCCTTTTGGAACAAGGGAACATGACTGGGAGGTGTGTGTGTGTGTCTGTTTATACACTGTGTGTGTGTGAGAGAGAGAGAGAATGGGAGGAAATGGTGTATTATTCTCAGTTAAATGGTGCTCGCCGCCCGTCCGTCGTTACGACGCCTCAGACCTCACACCACTCAACCCCTCGTTCCCACAGGACGTCCATTACACACACACACACGCACACACACACACACACACACACCATAATTGTCATCTTTTTTCCAGAAAATAAGAAGAAACTCAATTTTTATTGCAATAACTTGTTAAAGTGATTAAAAGATGTTTTTTTCTTTTCTGTCTTCCTTTTTTATGTTTATCAGGCTTATCATGTTACAGTGTCCTTACAGACTGTTCAATGAACCCTCACACAGTTAGTTAAACATCTTTTCCTTGGGCTGAATCACAGACGTTATATGGTTTCAGACTCCTTCAGGCTTTAAGCACTGCTTCGAGCACATCACTTTTTATAGTAAGGCAGTGTGCTCAGAAACAACATGGAGCACGGCTCGTGTCTGAGCAGATAACTGCTGCTTTATGCACCTCCCGCAGAGGCTTCAGAGTCCTCTGTGCAGTTTCAGCTCATGCTGTTTCACCTCACAACTCCTTTGAATTTTGGGAGGACCTGTGAGACTCCAAGCAGCACCATGGACATGCAAATCATGCAGCAGAAACCCTTTCAGCCTCTCTGCCTGTTTTCAGGGTGTTGCATCTGCAGCTGTCTGGAGTTTGATCCTTTTTCTTTCAGTTTTGTGTCGCTCTCCTTTGTCTCCTCCACAGCAGGACCGTTTTGTTTGCAGAGCTGAGTTTTCCACAGTTACATGGTATTTCCTCTGCTGCTGGGGTCCATTAGTGCAAATCTTATAATGGATGTGGAGCAGTATGGGGACGATGTTCATCAGCTCCAGATGAAGATGGTGGCGTTGGAGCACTCCCACGACTGGTACAGAAATCCTTGAGTTTTGCTGCCTGACCCTTTACGTAGAATGTGGGTCGTTGAATTTGCAGAGATTGTGGGACTTTTGTTCATCCATCCATCCATCCATCCGGACCAAAAAGCTAACAGCATGTAGCCGTGTACATCGAATGCTAACTGCTCGAAAAGTTCATCAAGACAAAGAAGCTAAACACAAATCAAACACACGTTAAAAGCTCAGACGATGACTGATGCAGTGGGCAGTGTTCACCGATTTCCTTAGTTTCACTTTCAGCACAAAGACACTCTTGGTATCCTCACACGTCTGTCTCATCCACAGGAGACAAAGTACCAAAAACAGCTCATCACTGCTGTTAGCCTGCCTCCTGGTGACCTTACAAACCTGCAGCATGTACACATATATAAAATCTACAGACCAATGATACACAACCACACCTAGACACTGAGTCTGCATCAGTTCACAGACACAGAATTTGAACGTGGAACCAGTTGGAACGCTGATGCGCTGTTCTGTAGGAACTGCGCAGCTCCGTGTTGCCACTGCACAGCATCCCGTCTTCTTCTGTCTACATCTGTGAGCTGAGGAGAGTAGCTGTAGACTTTAACAGAGGAACGTTGCCCCGTTCTGGTCTGATGGAGGATTCTAGCTGCTCAGCAGTCCTGCCACTGCTTTGTCCTGTTGTGGGTTTCATGATGCTCCAGATGTTCTCAGCTGGTCAAAGGTCTGGACTGCAAGCAGATCAGTTCAGCACCCGGACTCTTCTCTTACAAAGCCGTGCTGCTGGAGTAG